GTGCCGAAGTTTGAACTTCCCGTTCGTGCATGTTCGTGCAGCACGATTTCTGGCTATCTGTGTTGAAATAATATTCCCGCGCCATTATTTATTGAACAAAAGAGAGCACCACCTCCGGTGTGTGCGAGAATGCACTTCGTCTGCCAGTTCGAACCACCCGCTGGTTCAAGCTGTAATTTGCTCAAGCATTCAAGCAGGAGGACCGCGAATGAAACTACGTTCGAGGCTTCGAGCCTGAGAAATGATTTTTTTCAACTAGTACATCAAAATAAACCTATCTTGTCAGAATGTGCCGTATCTCGCAAAACTCTGCTGTAAATAAGTTTAGTTTGTATCAGAAGATCCCCGCTGGATATCTTCACTCGTGTCCCCGATCGGATTGACAAAGATTTGATCAAGCAGTGCCGGTACCTGCGTCGCGTTGAGTCCGGCCGGCTGCCGCACTGAGACTATCAAGCTGCCCTTCCCGCTGGCTGGGGAAGTGAACACCGCGCTGTGGTTCTCGTAGTCGGATTCGAAATGACATTCTCCGGTGGGACCACTGGCTTCGCACGCAGGACACACCGGGCCCCAAGGAAGGATGACGGTGCCTGAGATGGACACCTGAAACTGGATACCGAAGTCTCCGCTGCCGGACCAGAAATTGCAGGCGGTGGCGATACTGAGATAAATTGTTAACTGGGCGAGAGATAACATGGCAGTATAGTTTGCGTACCGGAGGGTGTACTGCGTCGAGGGGCAGAGCAAGATGTCCTGTGTCACGGTGGACAGCCCTCCGACAACCGGATCGAAGCTGCATTCACTGAGCAGAGAGGTCAGCAGTTCCCATCAAATCACATAAGTTGGACTGACGCACATCGACCTCGGATCCCCCCAAAACCCATCCATGTCCGCCGTCGAGTAACTCCCCGCAGGAACGCATCCGGGCGTCCCCGTCGGCACGGCAATTACCCAAGGACGAATATCTACAAACCGCGGGTCTGAGATGGGTTGCCCATAAAAGCTCGGGTTCTCCAAGATCTGTCCACTCGTCGGGCACGGGGCCGGCGTGTACGTCGGGTTCCCGGTATTGTCGGCGCAATAACACGCGCTGGACATGCGCTGCGGACTGCAAGTGGTGGGCACGAAGGTCGGCGTGGGAGCGGCGTATCCGTAGAGGTATCCGTCGGTGTAGGAGTTACAGAAAGAGAGGGCGATAGAGGTGATGGCTGGGGCTCGGAGTGCGTTCAGGCAGTTATCGCCGTTGCAGGTGGCGGCGGTGGTGAAGGGGAGGAGGAGCAGGAGAGTGAGGAAGCGGGCCATTTTGTCGGAGGTTGTTGGGGATGGATGCGTGTATCGTCATATATACCATCTACGGAACTAGACGGTCCGTAGATCTCTTCTATTCTCCGCTGGCAATTCTTCGTCTTGGTCTATCTCATCTAGCATGTTTCAACCTTCAACAGTTCTGTAATGCCGGAACGGTCTGATGACGGTGTTTGAACTTTCCCAAATGTGTTCAACTTATGAAAGCGGGTCTAAAGGGACTTCGATGTGTGTCCGAGAAGCGAGGAGTATTGTAAGTCTTCTGAGCCCGTTCTGAGCCCGAAATGGTCAATTTCTTTTTATCTGTGGTGTGGTTGAGAAATATCCGTATAGGTCCCAAAGTTGAAGTCTCAACAGGAGTATTCAACCACAGATTTGATGAATACGTTTCACACAACGGAACCAACGGGCAACATTTACCACAGAAAGTAGTGTGCACAAAAGAGGGAAGTGCTTGATTCTAAAAACTGCCGCGGTTCGAGTTTCGGCACCGATTGTGTACCATATTTGTACTTGCGAGCTGTTGAAGCGGAGATCGCGGCGTAACCTCTCGGCGCCAAACTGTCCAGTCATATTGTATTTGGGTGGTAGAAGCTTAGGAGAAGCGCTGAGGCTGCTCAGCGATCTGTAGGAATGATAAAGATCCATCAGCTTCTTCAAAACTTTCCCAATGCGGAGTTTAAAGGGTTCGGACAGACCGGAAATCGTTGGTGAGGTTGTGCAAGAGCTGTCGACTGTAGAGTCTCAAAAATTGTGGAGATCAGTTCACATGTTCGGGGTTCAAATAGTGCCGCGAAGCCGAGCCATGGTCGGAGTTCGAATATTCATGGGACACGTGGCAGACCTCTTCAGAACCCCTTGGGCCTTCACGTCGAGAGGGGATTGGCTTTGTCCACTGGTCTCTCCAATCTTGACATCCGCTGCGCAGCCCCCTTCATTCCGCGAAATCACTTTTAATCGCGGCTTCCTCAATACTAGTATCGACGATCTTCTCATTCTAGAGCGGTACAACGAAATCGGCGGATGTGGACGTCTCCTTGTTATGCTGAAGGCTTCGCCCCATATACTCATGTTCCTTGGATTCCATCCTCTTGACAGATCCCGAGCGCGTTGCGTCGGATGGAAGAATGGAAGAAGGAGCCTCGCGCAGTTTGTGCCAGAGCGTGCGGTAAGCAATGGAGAGTTATATTGGTTTACTACCTCCCCATTTGCATGCTTTTTACTATAGTCCACAGCGCAGGGAAAGAGTCTTCGCGCGCCTCTGAACGAATGGAGTGCCGCTGCTCTCGCCAGAGTATCTATTTAGCCAGCGGCGCTTGTTTCCATCGACGTCCGCAGGTAAGTAGCAGTGAACAAAAGCTGTGTCCGTACTCAAAGCGCTTCCCATTGTGCGTTTGTGACTCCGGGGGTAGACGGCACGCTTTGAACTACTCATATATAACCGAGCCCTCCAATGCCACTTCCCGCATCTCACCTTGCACTCTCCCTCACTTTGGCAGGCCAAAACAACGCTCCTTCACATGCATCTCTCTCGTCTTCTCAACCCTACCGCCGACACTCGTCCTACCAACCAGCCGGTGAGTCGTGGCCGCATTTCGTCCTTGAAACGACGTTGATATGTTTTGAACCCGCCAGGTGGTTCCACAGTCCCCGCCACAAACCGAGGTTCGGCTCGTCGGAATGCGCTCGACCAAGGAGGACCGCCTGAGGTACGTCGCGGTGGCACCATGACCTTGCACGACTCTGAATCCTTCCCAGTTGCGCGGCATGCAAGTCACCTCGCAGTCTCAACGAAGCTCAAATTCTCGACGGGACGCGGCCGACTTTGGTGTCCCTGAGATGCTTGTGGCCCTGTTGGGCCGCGCCTGCCGCGCGGTATGGTGCCTCCGGGATGGCGCCCTCCTCGCCCGTACGTCTGTTGCCACTTCACACCGCCATTGCTCATCGATCCCCAGGTTCTTCCCCCCGACCATGTGACTCTGGACATGCGCCGTGGCGCGGACCCACTGCCCGTACGTCCGCTGCCATTACACCCCGCCATTCATTGCTCACTGATCTCCAGAACTCCTCCCGACGCGCCTTCCCTCCACCCGGACCACCCATACGCAGTTTACAGATTCGCAAAGCTCGGATCCGGCAACTATCGCACCTTTACCCCGCAGCCGCGCTACTGTCCTGAGTGCCTGATGGACAGGTTCATCGCAAACCAGCACAAGATCTACCCCGGCCATGGCTGCCGCCAGTGGTCGCCGACGGCGAATTCGGGGGCCCAGGAGTCAGCAGGATCACCTTTGCGTACGAACACAGCCCGTCGGTGCCTGGCGTCAGCGTCTACGACATCATTCGGTTCAGAGCCAATATCGCGGACGCGGCCAGAAGCTCATCCGGACGAAGGCGAGGGGCCCATGACGATACTCTTCCATGTGTGTATTCTTGCCTTGAGCCCGTCTCCGGGTTGTTGCTGATTTATCGTCGTCTTAGATCGAACGCGCTGGGATGTTCAAGGATGTCATCTATACCAATTGCCCCCACCGCACCATCACCCGCTTCAACCTGGCGTCTGCGCTCGCACAGGGTTTCATTGCCTTGGGAAACCGCGGCCCGGGTCAGCCGTACAAGCCACTGGTGCTTGTGAGCTTGGAGTATGACAAGAGCTTGGGGCACTGGGTCGCTTTGGCGCGCTCCGCCTAGCGCTAGAATGGTACAAGATTCTCGTCATCGATTGCTAGATATTTTCTCTTTACTGTAGATCTCAAATAATGAATTTCTGCGATCTTGCTATCTGACTTGAACCAAATCTCATCGTTTCATCCAAGGCACGAACGCACCCATTCAAACAGTCGGACCCAAAAGGCAGGAACGAACGGAAGCGAAGTGAGCAAGCGAATACATGAACCAACCAGAACGCGTCCCCAACGCCGCCAAAAGCAATGAAAGATCGAAAAAAGGACGAAAGGGAACGCCTCAGAAAAAGTAAAATGAAGAACCTCGTCACACGGCAAGGACGAAGCGTGATTTTTCACCTTCCAAAACGAAATCTAACGCGTTTAGCGGCGAAGGAATTCGATCTAGAAAAATCGAAAATACAACGGAACCGACTTGAAAGCCGGCGGCAGAGCAATGAATTAAAGCACAGAAAACCGCGCACCATACGTAGTCCTGCCATGACCTCATCCAACGCGCCGCATCCGCGAGGCGTGCTCTGTCTTTCCCGCCCCAGCGCGCTTGATGTTTGAGTGGCTAAAGTTCTTGTTCAACATTTCAGCAATTCGACGATTGAATTGTTTCCGAAGGAAAGCTAGGGAGGAGACAGCACCAAAATCCCGCCCGCAGCGTCGGATTCGAAGGCAATACCCGCAGCAAGATACTGATTCGCATCTTCGCAGAAAATGTGCGGCTACGGTGTTGAAGACAAGTGGATGGCCAGGAGCGGGAGGCGACGTTGAAACGATGTTGCAGTGTGGGAAGAGAGAGCAAAGGCGTCATAGATGGCGGGCTCGTCGGCGATGACGCGGGCTCAGCGACGACGCGGACTATAGGCTGGTCATTGAGCGAGCCGATGGAGACGACGTTGAGAGAGAAAAAGCAAGTGACTGCCGTACGTCACTGATCCGGGGCGTCAAACGCACAAGCCGCGCGGCCCGCGCCGTTCAACAAGGCCATCAAAAAAAAAGTTCGCCCACCCTTTCCGATAATGCCGCCGGTGGGATTCGAGCCCACGCTTGCTCTCAGTGGCACTCACTTCCTTCATTCCGTATATGAGGCGCACGACCTTCCTTGGGTCCACAACGACTTGAAATTGAATGTGGTTGGCTCCAACAAGTACTTGCGGTTGGCTTGCAGGAGAGTTTCTTGTACTGACTGTACCTCCTCGGGCTAAAGACACTTCCACATAAAATGAAACAAAACTCGAAGTCGTTCCTTTGATGCCGCCGGTGGAGTCGAACCCAGACGCAATTTAGAGCATCATCCCCGTAGATCCACAGGGGCTTCAAGCTAAATAGCACTGGGAAAGGCTAGCTACTGAACTCGATTGACATTAGTTACCATGTCTCATCTCCCTAGGCGTTGATTAATTCAACGATCTTGGATGAAAGTAGTAATGCCGAATAATACTCATTCAAGCACCAGTGTTCAAATTCAACGTATCAAAAAGTTGCCAAAAAATCGCCTTTTCTGCATGGTACGCCGCCGGCAGGATTTGAACCTGCGCTTGCTCTGACTGTGACCTCACTATTGCAGTATACAATGGGCACGACCTCCTTCGCTCCACAGCGGTTTAAAATTGAAGATATTGAACAGTTTGAATTCACCTCTTGCAGAAGGTTGCTTTCGAGTTTTTGATCAAACTCGCCCTCTCCTCGCCTGCCCATCAATTGATTCCACACCGGTATAGTCCATAGAAGCCTCCTCTTCCTCCGTTCCGCCGAATAGAAATAATGTTCACAGCGGCTTTGTAGGTACAAAATATGAGTCGGCACAGGAAAAAGTTTCTCCAACGCAGTCCAGAACACCACCGGCGGGATTCGAACCCACTTCTTGCTCGGATCCGATGTACTCCAGCATAATGATAGCACGATCAACCAACGATCCACAGCGGCTTGTGTACGAAGCACAAACTCACCCAGCAAAGGGCTTGAGAATTAATATTCATCTACAAATTGAACATCCAACTTTTCTTCGTTCGAGCCGAGGTATCCGTTCCTACTCGCTGATATTCGAATTGAACTCCCCTTCGGAAGTCCTTCGAACGTGCGCGCACCGGCATTCAAGTTCAATACAAAAAAAAAATCAATGTCATCCATTTTAAACGCCACCGGTGATAATTGAACCCACTCTTACTCTCATTCTCAACTGTCACGAAGATACTAGGAGCACGACCTCCCCGAGTCCACAGCAGCTTGGAATTGAACGTGATTGACTCCGATAAGTACTTGCAGTCTATCTGACAGCGTTGGTTAGTTATGTACAGATCTTCTCGGGCCGCAGATACTTCCACATAGAATCAAAACTAAATTCCAAGTCCTTCATCGCTGGTGCGAGTCGAACCCACCTGGATCGCGATGTTTCGTCTACTTGTATGAGGAGCACGACCTCCCTCGGTCCGCAGCGGCTCGAATTTGAACTGTATTGCAATGATATTGAACGGTTAGTTTCGATCAAACTCTCCCACTCTTTCTCTACTTATCGGGTCCAAGTCACAATCGACCAACAAACAACAATCCAAAGGCTTTCCGAGTGCATCTCGACAAGACGCGCAGGCGTGAGCATGGGAGAGACCTACCGCGTTTACAGGAAGGTACCCGCTGCCGTCCGCTATTCAGTAAAGAACCGAGGAAAATGAACGAACCAAGAGTTACATGACACTTCTCGAGTCGCATCCAAAAAAGGAATACAACACGGGTACACGCGGGACCGCGAATGAAGTCGAATAAAATGAGTACTGAACGCGCTGTCAAGTCAAGCCAAGTGAGGAGCACGAGAGCAAATGCACGCGACAACCCGGTGCATGACTGCAGGAACACGGTGTGCGAGGTGAGCGCAATGATACGGGCCCGGCAATACCTCCGATGAGCAAGACGCGACGCGCATCATCCACGAGCTCCCCCAGAAAGAATGCGCCGACACGCGACACACGCGACACAACCCGTCGCCATTCCCAATCCACAACTTGAAACTCCAATGAACGAGACGAGACGAAGCCGGCTTGAAGAACCAAATATTGAACGTCAGGGAACGAACACCTCGCACCCCCTCATGGGACTGCAGCAGGAAGGAACGAAAGAACAAAGAGAGCGAATCGATGAACGAACGAGAGCAAGATGCGAAGTAAACCCAGCGCCAAGGCAGAGTGTCGCCCAAACAATGAAAAGATCCAAAGAAAAGGACGAAAAAAAAAGCAGGGCAAAGCCGACAGCAAAAAGCACAATGAAGAAGCCTGTCCTTGCTAGCCCGATTTCACGTTTCCAGAACGAAATCTAACGCATAACACGTTCAACGGTGAAAAAATTGGGTCCGGAAAGATCGAAAACCCAAGAAAATAACGTACGAAAGAGGGGGAAAAACAGAGCGTACCTGAGGGTGTATTATACCCAAGGGCAGAGCAAGATAGATGTCCTGCGTAACAGTCCTTCGACAACTGCATTCACTGCAAAAAGAGGTCAGTATCCAAGCGAGCGAAAGGGCGCATGATGAACGAACGAATGAACGAACGAGAACGAAACGAGATGTAAACGCAGCTCCAACGCCAAAAAAAAAAGAAAAGATTCAAAGGACGAAGTGGACAGCCCGGAGAAAAAGCAAAACAAAGAACCCACCAAGCGATGACGGAGCGCGATTGTACCTTTCAAAAATGAGATCCGAAATCTAACGTGTTCATCGTTCAACGTTCAAAAATTGGGTCCGGAAAAATGGAAAACCCAAAGGAACCGGGGCCGTCTACAGTTGAAGCCTCGCCGCCTCGCCATCCATCCCCAGCGGCGCTCCGAGGGAGATGCACATCCCGAGTCCGAGGAGGTGGAACGGCGTCGTGTCCGCTTGGATCCGGAACGCCGTCCGCGCGAGTACGATCTCATTTGCGAAGATGTGGTCGAAGGCGAGGGTCGCGACGGCTCCTGTCGGCGGGTCGGCCGTCCAGCGGGAGGAGAGAGCGAAGGCGCCATAGATGGCGGGCTCGCCGGCAACGATGCGAGCTCGGCGATGGCGCGGGCTGTGGGCTGGTCATTGCGCGAGACGACGACGACGCTGAGAGAGAAGAGCAAAAGTTTCTTACGTCATTCGTCAAAAAAGCTGTCCGTTCCCTAAAATGCCGCCGGTGGGATTCGAACCCACTCTTGCCCTCATCGTCACCAAGCGACGCTACACGAGGAGCATGACCAACCTAGGTCCATAACGGCTTGAATTAAGTTGTACAGTAAGTATTCCAACTTGAACGATGACATTGAACGGTTTGAATCTACGGTCAGTGTCGATCAAACCTCCTCCCTGCTCAATAGAGTAAGATACATAATGTGCACAGTGGCCTTGTAGTACTACAAAACCGACGCAAGAAAAAAAATCTACTATTCTTGGAGATGCAGTTGGCAGGGCTTGAACCTACTTCTTACTCAACTAAATGATCCAGGAACAATATTAGACCACGATCAACCGATGATCCACAACAGCTTGAGTGCTGCAGATATGAACTTGGCTTCTACCTACTGCTACCTAAGTATTTCATGTGTAGGCGAATAAGGTATCACTTCAATAATTTGTTGAACTATGCATGGCCCGGAATCCCCAGCCAACTCCTCCATGATCAAATTCGCCTGGCATTCAAATTCGATACATTGAAAAAGTCGATGTGGTTCACTTTAAACACCACTGGTGGGAATTGAACCCACTCTTGCTCTGACTTTGAATCATCCGGACGCATACGAGGAGCACGACAGCGGCTTGAAATTGCACCTATTGTCTATGTACTTACCGAGTACCTTTAGTTTATCTGACGAGACCACGGTCGATTGAACCATCCACGGGCCACGGCTGATGGACCCAGGCAACGTTAGTTGATCTATGTATTCGTGCCGATACTTCCATTCCACATAGAAACGATATAAAATAAAGTAAATAAAAAACAATCGAACATTACCGAATAAGCCACTGGTGGGAATCGAACCCACTCCTTGCTCCAGCGTTGACAAATTTGCTACATTTAGAGCATAATCTCCATGGATCCACAGTGGCTTGTATGTCATTGGGAGGGGATGGATGCTGAGGTTGGCCTCGATTGACATTCCCGTGTTCCACCTCCAGACTTTTGGATTGGAAGTGAGTTTCTGCGTGTTCATCATCCGGGTTCAGAGTTACTGCGATCAAAAGAAAAACACCTCACCAGCGAAAAAAAAGGTCTCCTAACATCTTACCTACACCGCGGGCGGGACTCGAACCCACTTTTCATGAGTAGAGCATGATCGACCATCGATCCACATACAAACAAAGCGAAGCATGAGCTTAAATGTTTGTAGCGTCTGTCTACGAGAGACTACGATCCACAGCGACTTGGATGGCAAGTACTAGGAATCCATATCCGGGCTACACAATCCCGAAATCAAAACTTTTACATGGATGCAAAAGCGATCTATTCCGTTGCCATGCCACACGCAGGAATCGAACCCACGTTTTGCTCTGAGCTTCCCTGACTTCGTTCACAGTTCGAGCATGATCTCCGTAGATCCACAGTAGCTGTAACAGCATTGAGTAAGGTTGGTTGGTTACATAGTGCAATTACGCTTGGATATCAATATTAGCATGTCTGACTTCGACGTTGAGTTCAAGAAAGATGTAATACGGTATGTTCTTTGGCCAAATTCAGACTTCTCGCCAGGTCAAAAAATACACTTTGTCTATTTTGCTCACACCACCGGCAGGACTCGAACCCACTTCTTGCCCGCATTTGCCAAGGATTTGCATGAATTTTCAACTGGACATGGAGCACGATCAACCAACGATCCACAGCGGCTTGGATGATAAGTACATGCCACTAGGAGTGACTATTCCGTGGCTCGGAGAGTGTGAGGAGGTGTGGTGCGATTTCAAGTCCGTCTTCGAGACGTCATGACGGACTCGAATGATGGAAAGCCGCCTGGAAAATTTGGACGTTTTATTTTGGTAAAATTGAACTTAGATTGCCCATGAATTTTCGAATCATCCTTGGAATAGCGGTAGAAGTGTCAGCTCACACCGCATATATCGTAGAATTACCAGATCATGAAACAAGCAGTACGGCCCGAAGAGCGCCGAAACTTCGGCAAC